AAACTCCAGCTGCTGCGTGCAAGCTTGCAAAGATTAAACATATCCCCCCCCCCCAAAAAAAAAAAATTGGCAACTTTGCACGAGCGAAAGATGCGACAGAAGTCAACGGAGGTTGCTCCCGCAGATCAAAAGTCTGCGTGTGTGTGTTCAAAGCCGGCATCGGTGCATGACCTGGATTTAAAGCCTGTCTCTCTTTCCTGTTGCTGTGGATCCAGTCTGTATGCGTGTGTTTATCAGGGAGAGGGCCAGATTTGTTCTGCGGGGAATAAGAGTAACAGTGCATCTGCATGACAAAAGCAAGAGGCAAGAAGGATTCAAGGCCAATCTGAAGCAAAAAAATATATATAGTTTTAAGTATCCAAACTTCATACAGTGTTGTGATGCATTAACATAAAGGAAAAGTAACAGTAATATGACATTCGATGCAAAAGAATGAGTCCCCTCTAAGCCATCTTCTCCTCCAGTTATAGAAACCGTCCTCTTTCACATGATGTTTTCAGTCAGGAAACTTGACCTCTTCTCTGAATTTGCTGATATCTGATAGCGTTTCTGTGAAAGCGAGGACGTGCGCTGGTTCAAAGTACAGGGACACAGAAACATGGCACGCATTCAACAGGAAGAAAAAGGAAAAAAATGCAGAGCAGAAATCCAAGAAACAGCCATTGCTTAACAGCTCAGAAGACTTCTGTTGGAGATCAAATGTGCAGATGAGAAGCACAGACATTTGCTTAACCGTTCAACCACTCGGCTTTGAATTTAGACACAGAAACAACAGCAGATCCTCAGAGAGCAGTTTGTTTACAGCTCCTCTGAGCGGTAATCATACAAAAGCCCTGCATGATTGCAGGCAGAGGACTTAAGAGGGCTCCAGTGTAGGAGTAATAAAACACTGAACTGTAGCTGGGAAACAGGAGGTATCACAATAGACAACACCAGAAAGGGTGAATATAATCTTCTATTATGACTTCAAAGCATCTCCGCTATAAGGTGCTCCACCCTGCAAGCTCTGAGAAAAAATATTTGACCTAATTTTGGCGTGTTTAATTCCAAACCTCGCTACAGCAATTATGGTCCAGGCTCAGCTCCTGGAGTCAAAACATACACTTAAACCGCATCAAGCGAGGTTAAACAGCAGTTAACCCTGGAAAATAAAGCTGAATCAGTAGAAACGAATACAGGGAGAGAGAGAAGTGGCCATGGCAGGGGTGAGGGGGGGGATGTTTGATGTCTGCGTGTGAGGGTGTGACACGGGCTAAAATAAGCTCCGTGTGAAAACAAATAGTCAGGTTGCTGGTTTAAAACTCACTTCACACCAGAAAAAGCTCCCCACCTTTGTTTTTTTCCCCTTCCTCCCACTGGCCTCGACGTTAAAGGGCCGAACAGAGCTTCATGTGTGATTTCATTCAAGGATTCAGAAACACACAGACATCACGTTGTGAGTTTTTTTTTCCCAAAAGAACATACGTCAGAGTTGGAGAGAGGGGCAGTAACATCTGTACACGGCTCTCTGCAGTCCAGAGGTGGCGGATAAATGGCCGTGATCCCGGAAGAATGTTGTTGTTTTTTTGTTTTTTTCAAACCTAAGGCATGGGAGTGCTCTTTGTTCCCTTTCACTGTCCTTGTGTGTTTCACTGTCAAGCATCGGAAGTGCTTGTTAAGATGATGAAAGGCAAACATCACAGCCGTTGTGGCCTTTGCGTTGTGAGCTTCCGTGAGACGCATTGTGTTGCTTCTGCTGAGGCGGGCCGGTCGTTATGATGCTTTTTCCATCAGGAAGCGCCTTAAAAGCAGCCGTGACATCACATGTGACCTCAGATCAAGAGGCCCGGCAGAAAACACACAAAAAAACACCCCACAACAACACCGGAGCGGCTGATGCTGATGTCCTTGTGTTTTGTTCTTTTACCATCACAACATATTGTGGTCCAAGGACAACTACTGCCAAAACTAAGGAAAGAGGGCTGAGGGAGGAGAAAATATCCACATCTAAAAGACAACGAGGCTCCACACAGAGTCATAGCTCAAAGTTTTTCCTCATGAAGCTGATTCAGTTGTATGAACGTGTCTGTTTTACTTACAATGGACATTCAAGATCAAATGTTCTCAGCAGAGACAACAACCTCTCGGCTCGTTCAGGCCATTCATTAGACAATGGGCCATTTTTTTTGGGACTGCTACGGGCTTCACGTCTCTAAGTGATTCACACATCACACACTTTGCACAATGCGTCCGTCTCTTTAGGTGTTTTTACTGCAAACAGGAGCACATTCCCAAAGTCACTGGTATTTCATAACATCACAGCTGCTAAACCGACATTTTACCTGCATCAAAAAGTATTTTTTTATACAGACTGGCAAGAAGGTTGCAGTTTAATATACTCAATACAAAGTATGGGCCAAAATGGGGCCTAGAAATAGGAGACGTGTTGGTTCTTTTGTGCATTTTTGTTTTACAAAAGCAAAGTTCTGCCCAGTTTTCCTCCAAAAAAAAGAAAAACAAAGCAGAGTATAGTGGATCCCGGACACACATCAGTTGATAAAATCACCTTAACTGGTTCAACACTCTCTTGAGACCAAAAAAAGAGGGCCAACTAGAGTCCCAAATCCCCATTCGGAGCTGCCACCCGACCCGCTTTGAGAATGAAGACAGTCTTGAAAAGTGAATGTGAGCACATTCGTAACCTCTACATGGTGCCAATGCACCAGTCTCTTATGGGAAATCAGCTCAGCTGATAAAGAGTGAATAATAATTCCATAATGAATATAGGCGAGAGAAACCATGTGCGGTGGATATTATGCAGCTATAGAATTTTGGACTGAGATGTGGGAAATACGAAAGTTGCATTTTGTTAAGTGGCTGTTACACCATGACATACTTTACTATGATTCAGGCTTTTGATAAAATGCATTTAGCAAAAGAAACAGTACATGCAGAATACAGAAAAACACCAGTGCCATGTGACTTTTGTCACAAGACAAATCAAAAGTTCTCCTTTTTTAACTGTCACAGGCAGGTTCACGTGTGTGACAGGAGGCTAAATCTCCAATTACTTAAGGTGTAGCTAATGATATCTGCATGTAGATATACTGAATTAAAAACCACTTTCAGATTACCATAACTTTAGAAAGCGATTTCTCTTTAACCCAAACCAAACTTCTAATGTTCCCCAGTTCCCAAAATGTCGATTCTTGGAATCTGTGGTTTCCAGATGTCACCTGAGACCAGGACGAAACACAAAGCGTGGCCACACACTCGAATGCAAACACCAGCCGTGAACGACTGAAGGTGTTGATGTCACTCATCCCCCACGCCCTCCCGCCCCTCCCCGACATAGACGGCTCCGTCTCCAGACCCCTAATCCGCTCTGACTGGGAGCGTGCACATAATCCAGCTCACGACAGAGACTCAGCATCACCTCCTCTCCTCGACCCGTCTTCCGCCAGCATGTGGAGCAAGCAGTGTCATGAAAATTACAATCATTGTTTGTTTAAGGGTCACAGAATTGTAAAAAAATTAAATAAAATTCCCATTTGGGACATTTTACCCATCATCGAAAGCTGTTTTCATGCTTGTTTTCATGGTTTCAGCCTCCAAGGCCATTCAAAGCATGAACATGAGCCAAGAACATGCCTATTTTTTAAATTCCTACACAGCAAAACATAATTTATTATGCTTTTTATTGTGTAAAAGAAATTAAGAACCAACGTCTTGGTTATCCGTCCAACGTGACTTCAGTGAAGGGAGGGATTTTCTTTCCCTCTTTGTGCGGCTCATGTGGTGGTTGTGTAGCTCCGGCTCGCTTCACATTGTCCCGCTGTGTTGAGACAGAGAAAAAAACCTTAGCAACCGGCCGGTTCACCGGCCGATCCCAAGGAAAACAAAGCAGTCTCGCACACAATGGAACACAATGCCGGGAAGCCCAGAGAGAGAGAGAGAGAGAGAGAGAGAGAGAGAGCAAGGAGGACGAGGGGGCAGAAAGGCAGCCATGCTCTGAGAGGCAGGTTTTCGGGAACACAGGCCAGAGATAAGCGGGAAAAAGCAGGCAGAGAGTTCCCCGCTGGGCCTCAAGGAAAGCAGCCAGAGGCAGAGGGGAGAGCACAGCTCAGTGTCGGCCTTCTCCCCTCAGAACTCGCGTGCCACTGACTCCTTGTTTATGGAGTGGACGCAGTCCAGAGGAGGACTCCCGGGGATAGGGGGGTGAATGGGCCCGCGTGCGTCACAAACCTGTTTGAAGTCGGGCTTGGAGGCCCAGTAATTATTTTTCATCAACAACCCTGCTCCCGTTCCTGTTTTCTCACCTCTCCTACGCTGGCCTTTGCTAAACCTTTGCTTTCCCTCTGTGTTTTTATTTTATTTTGCATTGTCGCCGTGACCAGACGAGTTGATGGGCATGTTTTCTTCACGAGAACATTCCTCAAAGATTCATTGTTGGTTTCTGAGATGCGCGAGTCTCTTCCAGGTATTCACAGAGTTATGGGCTCCCTCTGGTTTAAACTGGAATTCAGATAAGGGAGGTGAGCAGTACGATTGGTGAGTGATAGATTATTTTGTTTTTTTTAGTTGGCATTCGCTTTAGTAACCCATGTAAAGACATTCTAGCCACGAGAATGTGATTCTTAGCATTTGAATCCAGGGATTCAAGAGAAAAGGGGACACTCAAATTGAGCATGAAACGGAGCTGATGTACTGAAAAATATCAACTTGCTCTTTCTTTCTCTCTCCCTCTCTTTATCTTCTTCCATCTCAACCGAGCGCTCACACTCGATGAACTCCACAACGAGTGGGGAGAAGCATATCCACCTCCACAAAGCAAAAGAAAACACGGTGAAGTCACGAGCTGCGTTACTCTGCAGAGATGTGTTATTTCATCCCACTGCGTGCGCGCCTTCAAATTCCTGCGCGGCATGAGTCAGACAATCTAAACTCAGCAGAGCTCCCAAACAACAGGGCTGTCATCAGGGACCTGCAGCGCAAAGAAACAGAGAAAGAGAGAGAGAGAGAGAGAGAGAGAGAGATGGGATTTTGAATTCATGTGGAGGAAAATATCCTTTTCCTGGTGGCCAACGCCAGCCACAAATAGGTCAGAAACACAGCTCAGAGCCAATGTCCACACACACACACGCCTACACAAACAAACAAGAAGGGAAAATACTTTTCTGTGGTGTCACACACACACACACACACACACACACACACACACCTGAAGCTGCAGTTGTGTGAATGAGCCTCTGTGCAGCCCCGGGCAGGAGACCTGGGTCAGCACTTGGCAGGCCAAGGATGCGTGCACGCTCGCGCACGTACGCGTGCACGCTTGCCCGCACACACACTTTCATCCCTCTTTCCCTCCCCCCCCCAACTGGAACACAGACCCGACTGTAACCCCCGAGCTCAGCAGCGGCCCCTCTCAAAGAGACCGAACATTTTTGAAAAATGCCCCGGAAAGCCCGAACTGGAAAATTACCAGATCTCTTTACTTTGTCCGCCGACCAGCCGTTAAAAAGGCCGGGATTGTGCTGCCCGGGCTCCGTTTCGAATTGTATAATTAGGCAATCATGCCAGCATGTTGATGGACCATTACCAGGTGTACACATCGAAGAAAAACAAGAGTACAAGCCCGTCTTGTGTCCCCACAACCTGAAAGCGAAGCACGAGTGCAGTGGAAGGTGGAGAAATTTCAAAATTCCTTGATGGTAAAAGATTGTTTGGTAAGATTCTATTAAAATCATGAAAGGCCCATTGAAGGGATTGGAACTTATCTTTATGGTCCATCCAATATTCTGGAATTTAGGCTGATTATCTTCCAAGAAGTGACAAATACTTCCGGGTGCAGATGTACAAAGGTACATACTCATAGTTTGAAATTTAAGACGAGCCACAATCATAAAGAATATTCACACATTTTATGGGACGAGCAAAGACTGGATAAGTGGAACTTTTGGGTATACAGTATCAGACAAAGGTGTGGCTACAGGGAAATCTTTCCACTTTTTTTTCCTTTATGTAATAAACACCTCAATGTATGTGCGTGAATACATTCGATTAATCATGAATGTTTCTCAACACAATCACAGACAGTGTGACGTTTGAGGTCTGTTGGAAAAAATTAGTTTTCACATTCCTCGGTGACCTCGTAATGATGTCACCTGTTTGCACAACAGTCTTGTTGAAGCGGGAGAGGCACCGGGGCTTAAGATTCCCCTACTAAGACACTAAACCACAACATGAATAGGAGATTGGAGGACCAGCAGTGCATCCTGTGCACAAAGACATGAAAGATGTTTCAATTTCATGCACATTTTGCATCATTTGGGGCGAATCTAGCTGTGAAATGAATCTAAATGGTAATAGTAGCCCTGGACCACCCCCTTTTCAGGCACATTTGAAGTAACTATGGGGACATTAGCTTATTGAGGACATTTTCTCTGATTCTTCATGATGTCCGTGCAACCTCTTCACATAGTTGCCCGTTTAAGATTGATATTTAAGAATAACATTGATCCTGCCATGTTACGGAAGATGAGAGTGAACATTAAGGATCTGGTTGGTAGACAGCAGGGCGACGGGGCGATGGCGCAACGGGAGGCACTCCTCCACCCCCGGGGAGTGTCACCTCTGAGGTAATGCTGGGATGCGGTTATCTGCAGCGTTGGCGGGGGGGCAATTGTTGGATCAAACATTCCTCATCTGAATGTGAAGGAGGAGTCCCCTTTCCAGTGAAGCGTCGGCGGGCTGACGAGGCCATGCCCCAAAGGAATCCATCTCCTGTTAGCTCCTGTCTTGATTTCAGAAGGTGTTTTTATTTTTTTTTATTCTCAGAAACGGCGACCAAACAGGCCTCGGCTCGTAAAAAAGAAAAAAAAAGTTGTGTAAACAATCAATGAGCTCTTTTTTCTACAATGTTTGATTCAAGGTTGCGTGTACATACCCATATGTTACATTTACAGGAGCTGTTATATTCTTTTTTTTACCTGTAAAACAGCAATGATTGGCGTTCATTATTTCAGATTTCAGGAAAGCTTCATATTTGTATCTACCAGCAATCTACCAGCCATTCACTGACAAACTGCAGCAATTTTCTTGAATCAATTTGAGGAAACTTTAATAATTTCCGGTTGCTCAGAGTCAGAAACTCCAAAAAGAAACGTTTCTTTCGACTTTTGAGCCCAACCGTTAAACAGTCCAACTCACCCAGTCAGTAAAACATCCAACAAACGTTGGTTAAAGAATAACTAATGACTAAGAATTTAAACAATCCGGAGAAACAGTATATGATATTTGATAACGGCACCTTCCCTGGAAACACTTACTTATTACAGGATTCCAGGGCTTTGCAGAATGATGGAGGCTTAATCTGAACTTTTCCTGCTTTGAGCATCTGGAAGAATCTGATTGGTACAGATCGTTCTTCGCTTTTTCTTTTCTTGTAAAGAAACATGTAGGTGAGTGGAACAAGTTCCAGCCCAAAAGTACATCCGGAGGCTGCACGTATGCACGCAGATGATATTTACAGTTGCAACACAAAATCCGGGCGGTGTGGGGGTTAGCACCATGGCCTCAGAGTAAAAGGGTACTAGGTTAAAGTCCCCCGGGGACCCAGGACCTTTTTGTGTGGAGTCTACGTTCCCGTTTCTTCTCTGGCTTCCTTCCACCATCCAAAAACCTGCATGTTAGGTTGATTGGACATTACAAATTGCCCTTAGTAGTGAGTGTGAGTGGTAGTGTGTCCTTGTGTGTCTCTGTGTGGCCCTGCGATGGGGACTGGTGGACGTCCAGGGTGTACCCCGCCTCTCGCCCATTGACCACCGGGATTATTCCCCATTAGGGAATAAGAAGTTCTGAAAATGGATGAATAGAACATAGAAATCCCAGCGTGGTAAGCAAACATGATGTTTTTGCCTCAGTTTTCATTCATCCTTGAGGCAGATACCAGGATGTAGTGATTACAGACTCGCCTGTGATCCTGTCTTCTAAAAGACATCGATGGAACACAAACGCAACACGCCAGAGGTCACTGTCACAGCTTCGTGGCCCCCGGTCACACCGAACACTGTGTTCTCATTACTAAATGCATGAAGCCGAACAGGTGCGGGCGAGTGTGGTAGATGTAGATATTCCTGATTAAAAAAGATTCTGGCAACCACCTTATCCAAACCATAAGTCCATTTAAATGTGATCGTGCCCCTTTTTGAAAGCGTTTGTTCAGACTTTTGTCTTTTTTTTTTGTGTGTAAATGAACAGACTCCAGAACCCGGTTGTGTCGATTATGGGATGTTCAGTTACTTTGGTTTCACTCGGCTGGACAAAGAGCGATTGTGGCTGCGTGCTGCCATTTGGAAGACGTCACATCCAGGGGCCCGCGTGGATCAAGGCCCCGGGTGTGTTGCATTCGGGGAGCGAAACCCAACACCTCCAGAGACCAGCCGTGAGCGTGGCACGAGAGAGGCCAATTAAGGCCGAGCACCAGAGGACGTTCTCCCAGTTCCCGGCAGGCAGCGGCTCCTGCACAACCACAATGACTTGAAAAACACGGGCCCCTCTACGGGAGAGCGGATTCCGTAGAGGAAGCGAAGTGAGCAGTTCATGTGAGGGGCATGGCACAGAAGAAGAGAGTGTGGGAGGAGGTGGGGATGGGCTTTTATGGGTTTGTTTCAAACAATAATAGACCGCTTCCACCCAGATGGAAACCCTTTTGTCCGTACCATCAAAAGGTGGTGGATATATTTGACAGTCGGTGATAGAAATGAATGACTTTGCCCTCAGATTACATATTAAATTTCTAGATTGAAACTATTTCTAAGTTTTCTTTGTCATATCCCAGCAGGAGGCCTCTTTAAGGAAATTTGATTCTCTGATGTTTGTTTTCTTTGAATTTCTGCCCCCATGTTTACCACGTCGGGAAATGGGAATGAAAGGAAAGAATGTTCAAACCAATCAACAACAAATGGGCATGTGGGTGTGATGTTGCAAAATACTTCAAAACTTTTGTCTCATCCATCTTAATTAGTCCCTCTTCCCACTCATCAAAAAACACAGATGTGGTCAACAGCTGATTTTCTAAATGGCCAATGCTTATTTCCATTCTTTTTGATCCCCCGATTCATCACGTTAACACAACAAAACAACCCATGAGCGAACTGATCATGTGAAAAACAAAGATGATTAAGAGAGAGCATCAACTGGAAGATCTAAAATGAAAAAAGAACCCTAAGTACTTACACAGGGAAGACGTAGTTCTTTGAGATACAGCATAAATCATTTAACATGGATCAACCAGTGGATGCGCACCTTTCCAAAAAATTTGTATAAGCCTTCAAATAAATGAGCCTATGAAGAGTGCAGTGTTATTAGATAAAACTCTACAAGCTGAAATATGAATGCAGGAGGAAAAATTTCCTCTTGCAGGATCAATGACCAAGCCTTTCTAGTCTGGATCTAAATGAGCACAGGTTCAAGCCCGACTACTCTTCTGTTGACCTAAAGCAACTTTCATCCGTCCTCACGCAGCCTTTTTTCCAAAACAAGTGCCGGCATGTTTGATATTTTCGAAACAACCTGTTTCCTCTGACCATCTCCTCTCCACTGAGGCCTGCTGAGGAGGAGTGGAAGCAGGAAACGGACCGGACAGGTGTTTGTTTTGCCACCATTCGATAGCCGTCCGTCAGCGGGCTTGTGTCTGTGTGGAAAGTTGCAATAAACGACGGGCCTCCGATATCCAAAAGGTGAGTGACCAGCAGCCATCCGAAGGAACGGAAGCCGCGGGTAAAAAAAAAGAAAAACCGCAAAGCTTTGAGGACCCAAGTCGACGAAAAGGTCCAGACCAAGAGTTTGAGTAAGTTCAGGTGAAATGCTGCTTGGACTAACACAAAACTCACATTGAAATTTACTCGGGCACCAAGGGGTCATCCAAGATGCAGACATCACACACAAACACACACGCGGGAGTAACGACAGCTTCAATAATAAATGGAAGGGATAGCAGATCTCTTTCACAGAATTTAAGGGCTTCCGTCTCCAGGAGACGAGATTCCGCTCGGGACGGAGAGGCCTTCATCCACCAGCAGCACGCTACATTTTGGTTCCCTCTTCTGGCCTTTTTGGGGGAACTACGCCAGGAACTACACCAGGCCACCAAAATGTCTGCGTGTTTTCCTGAGCGATTTTACCACCTTTTGCTGTCACAAGAACAACTTGAACCTGGAATGCTCGAGCGGCAGCTTTGGGATGCTTGAAATCTTTAAGATGTTCACAGCGACTCACGTGAGTCTCATTTGCTGAAGATTATCTAAACTGTTAAGCAAACACAATAATAAACCCAATCCATGGATAGATTCAAATGGAAGTAGACGAATAATGAGACACCATGTGGGCAAATGCATTTCCCCTCTTTTCTTTAATAAAGAAAATCTCTCAAACCAACGTCAGTATTCAGTTCATCTTCCTATAAAGTTATGGGGTTAGAAAAATTACAGTGAGTTTAGAAAAATAATCACTTTCAGTGTCATCCGAGTGAGAAAACTTTCCAGAAACGTAACCGAGTGCAGCAGTGCAAAGTGTAACATGTTTGAGTCCATAAACCAGCAGCGACACACACATTTTTCATTACTGACCATGTCTTGGCAGCCACTGGTTTCCATCATTTAAATATTGTGAGATGGTCTATTTTTTATGTGACTGGTATAAAAAAAGAAGAAGAAAATCAACTAAATGATTAACATTTGAAATCCTTAAATGCGTCTTATAGTGTAATTCTGAATGGATCTCAAAGCAGTGTCTGCCTGGTAGAAAAATTTGAATGATTTTGTTACAAATAGGAGAAAGTGCAGGTGAGATTTTTAAAAATGTATCTTCTTATGTTACTATGAGCGTTTGTCCTCAATCTTAAATTAAATTCCAATTACATTTTAACAACAAAAATACATTCAAAGGGATCTTAAGTGCTTTTTTAAAAACAGTACGTTGAAATTATTATTCTTTAGTTGTTGAAATGCATAATTTAGAAGGTTTTGCCATATAATTTAAATGGAATAAAACTCAAATTATTAAAAATTTAAAAAAGTGCTGATTCACATAAAAAGCATAAATAATGATCATTATGACCAACATCCATACAATTTACCAAACTAAATTACTAAAAATTAGTCTTTTTAGGAATGTGTTTCATCACACTTTCCCCACGCCCCTTCACACTCACACACACACACACACAAACACACATTCATAAAATCAGGCACGATGAAATCTAAAGGGGAATTCATGTCTGAGCTGATCGGCATTCCCTCATTACCTGTTTTCAGTGAAATACACACTGGTGAATCTGTCCTATAGTCTGTGGAACTGATTTCAGCAACCTTTTTGTCCTAGACACCAGAGAGGGGAACATCTATCCTGATTTCAAGGGCATTAATGATAACTCTAAAAGTCAGTTACTTACATAAAAGCAAAGTGTTTTCCCCACCACAGTTTCCGTTGAGTGGAAGTACAGCAGCTTCTATGAGCGGCGAGCTGCCGTCGACTGAGAAACAGTGGTCAGCTTCCTGGCCGGTTCCATCATTGTGAAACCTATAATACCCTTTTTTCTGTGCTAGATAAGATATATACATTATTTGCTTTTCCCTTTAAATCTGGTCCAGTTTTAGACTTTGTCAGTTAAACAGTGATCTCCCTTTCATTGAGATGAGCCTGAAAAAACTATATGCTAAAATCTCTCTCTCTCTGCTTTTGGATTGTAGATAATCAGGAATTTAACCTTTATGGAAATACTAGAAAAATGGGAGAACACTGTACCTCTGCGGAAAAACCTCTGATAAACAACTCTGATAAATATATTAAAAATCTGAGTAAAAAAAGGTTGAGGGCGATCTGGTAGTTCCCCCGCGTGTCCAGGAGAGGGCGACGTGTCGCTTCCTGATGAAAACTAAAACAGTGATGTGTAACATAACCGTGGCAGAAAGTGGAAGAATGGCCCTGTCCCTCCCTCTGCCGTGTGTCTGTTCAGCTTCCACCGATTGAAAACTTCTGCTCTGATTTGTTACGCTTCCCCCTTTTTTTTTGGACTGCGCAGTCCCGTCCGGGACTCGCTCGTCTCATGTGGTGGACTCCTGCTGGATCTGGATGTAACAGGCCTGCAGCAGAAAAACAAAAGGGCAGCTTTAGCGGTTTTAGGTCTAGCAGTAAACATCATATTTCTCCTATTTTAGTTTCTCTCCGTTGGCTCCCTGTTTATTTCCTGGGAGAATGAAAAACTGTGCTCCTAACACATCAAGATTGGAAGGTGACGCTCTGTGTGGCGGTCCCACCTTCAGGGTGGTGAACATCAGGCCCATCTCTCCGTGCTGAAGGTTGGGATCCATCAGGTCTTCGATCAGATTGACCTCGGCTCCCAGGCTCCTGATCCTGGAGGGGACGACGATGGACACAGATTTAAGTACAGTGATACCCCTGCTAGCGCGGAGCGTGTGTGTCGCTGTGATGGTGACGCACCTGGCCCGGAGCACCACGTAGAGGAAGAGCGGGAACAGGTCGTCCATGCACCACAGGAAATCTCCGTGCAGCAGGGGCTTCACCTCCGTGGTCAGCTCCTCGAACGTCCTCTGAATGACCACCAGCTTGTCCGACGGCGTGAACGTGGTGCTGCGCACAACCAAGGGGCCGCGTTTCAGTGCGGTTACACAACGGCGTGAAAACGTGCGTCCGTCCTCTTTCTTTTCTTAAAGCACATCAGTGCCCCGTTCGGATTTCAAACAAACCCGGTCTGACTCTGATCATTCCCTTCTACGTCTTTGAAGTGGCCGAGTCATCTACCTGATTTGTTGGAGCGTCTCCACGGCAGAGACAAAGCAGGCGTCTTTGCTGCTGGACACAATCTGTGGGGGAGTGGAAAAAGAGAACAACACAAAAGCAGCAGCTGTAAATATATACGCCGCGCATCTCGCCAGAAACCATACACGGACGGACGTGGAGGGGGAGGAGATGGCACGAGTACAGGAGTTAGGAGGAGGCATTTGACCTGCTTTCTTTCCCCCAGAATTGACATCCAGAGAGGCCAAAACTTCCTACGAAAGTAAACAAAACAAAGGCTCTAATTAAGAAAGTCAGGGGGGAAATCATAGAAAACTTCCTGTGTGTTCCAAAATGAAAGATGCCAATAACCAGAAACATGCCTGCTTCAACATCTGTGAAGCATGTGTGTGTATATCTGTGTGAGTGTGTGTGTGCTCACTCACTCCTGCACTCCCAGAAAGCTGAGCAGCGATTGGTCGGGCTGCTTGTTGAGTCTCAGGATGCGCTCCCAGTACTGGGCCTCCTCCTGCTCCTCCTGCAGACAGTACAGGGTAAAGAGGGGGGGGTAGAGTCGGGGGAGCAGCAGGGGGAGGAGCAGGGAGGAGCAGCACACCACCGTGACACTGGAAGCGTGCGGGATGGCGGCGGAGGGGAGACAGACGAAGGTTCTCGGTTTAATTCAAGCTTTTTTTACGTCAACTCCATGGGAATGTGGCTGGTGTGCTAACGGCGGGGCTCTCTCGGAATCGTGACACCGACCCTTGCTCGGCTTTGTTCGAGTTGCTTCTGGATGGAGAGGCGGGGGGCTCAGGGATGACGCCGCCATCGTCTGGTAGCTCAGGAAACAGAAACCTGTGGGAGCAATACAAAAATAAATAAAAACACCTTCTAACCCCTTTGGGCCGAAGCTCTCGAAGGAGAGCCCCGCTCAGTGGGAGGCGATCCAATCTACCTGATTACGGTGTAGAAGTGTGTGAGGTAGGCCTGGAGCTCCTGGACGGCTTGCCGCAGCAGCCGCCGGTTGGAGCCCACGCCGACGTAGGTCATCCGGTAGGCGGTCACCAGCGTCTCCACCAGCCAGCCCAGAGGGTGGTGGGGCGTCTCGCACGCCTTGGTGAGGTATCTCCTTACGCCGTCGTAGTTCAGGGTGGTGACGGGCTCGCCATAGGGAGGAATAAACTCCAGACTCTCCAGCACTTTGGTCTGGGATTTGCTGAGGTCTGGACTACAAACACACAGACATAAAACCTACTTACTGCCTGCTAAATTTTTTTTTTTTTTACTCTTTCTGAACGTTTGCATTTTCAGTATCAGTTGGTTTGAACTGGAAGGGGCTCAGAGCCTTAAAACTAAACGAACCCAACTGTTAGAGTCAGGAGGTTGTTTGTCTACCTCTGTCGTCGAGCGGTCGTTATGGAAACAGCTATGTTCTCCCAGGCCGTGGTCCTCTGTCCTTTCCCGGCGCCATCGCAGCCCAGCCGACTCCAGCACTCATCAAACACACAGATCCACCTCTGACCTGCAGGCACCGCAAACTGACCCAACCTGACGTGCACAACGCACGCATTGGCAGATTTATTTTCTGTTTTGAGCCCAAACAAAGCCAGCAAACTGCCGCAAGATCAATAAATGCCACCGCCGTGGAAATATTCCACAACGCTCGGCGGACAAAATAAATAAATAGAACACTCACTGCACGCTTTTCCTGTCTTTGTTTTCACATCCGTGATTTGCTGCTTTGGTGTAGGTTCCAGTCACCTTCAGGCCCGTGTTCCACTCTCCACAGAACAGGCCGTCCAGACAGTCACCGTTAGCCAGGGACAGCACACCCTGAGGAGGAAGAGACACCTGTGTGGGAACCCTACTCTCCGAGCGGGAGACAGCCATGGAAGGCGAGCAGACAGATGCTTTCTACCTTCCCGTTGATGGACCAGTCGTCAGAAAAGTCCCCGTGGAATCTTGTGTCGTCCTCCGACACCAGCAGACCCGGGCCCTGACACACGACACACACGTCTGAGTCATTAGTCCGCGACAAACCACTCCAGGCATCAAACTGGGGTTTCTCTGTGAAAAGCAAGCCAGACCGGCCTTGTGGGACACTGGCTCAGCCAACTGCTTCAAGAACATGTGAAATGTGTTTTCCTTCTGAACTGCTCTGATGAGACAGATGTGGAAACTTTGTGCGCACTGATGAGACTCCAAAAGGAGATTATCATCAAAGGACTGTGGCCTATTTCCGAAGTCACTGGCAAAAATGAGCGTAGCCTCCTTGTTATTGGCTCGTCTCGTCACCCTGAAGCTCTTTAGTTCCTCTTAGCGCCAATCATGGAGGCATATTGACAGCTTTGTGGTCCTGAAACTCAACATTACCAATGGCTGGAATGTGGAGAAAGCATTAGGGACAATTCTGTTTTGAAAAACAACAACTTCCATTGAGTTTAACTTACAGCCATCTTGTTTTCTCTGAAAGTCCCCTCAAAGTACACGCCGTACTGGGTGACGACCACAGCAGCGCCGTGGCGCTGGTCGTCCAGCCACAGCCCCATGTACTTTTCACCTCTGTGGAAGAAAAAAAACGGCATCACAAACTAATGAAGATAATCCAGGATTTATTCTAAACAGGTTTCCACTTAAAAAGAGATTCCACGGGGAAACCGGGCTTCAACACTTCGGCCGTATCTTTTATCTAATATGAGAGAGCCAGTACTCAGACCTGGTGATGTCATCGTGGACTCCGTATCCCGTTTTCTTGTCCTGAACCCAGTGGCCGATGAAAACGCTAGAGGACGTCTTGGCGAGTTTACCGGAGCTCAGCATGCCGTAACCGTGGCGCTGGCCGTCCAAGAAACATCCCTCATACACCTCACCACTGGCATACCTGAGTGGAGCGCACACAGATTGCTGCCCTCTGTGTTCATTCTCTCACGTGTCTCATCTGTATGTTATTCGTCCATTTTTTGCATTTCGCCCAGAGGAAAACAGTGCACTCACTTGTACTTTCCAAAACCATGGATCTTGCCTTCTTTCCACTGCCCTTGGTAGCTGTCTGGTTTGTTCAGGATCTTGTTGGGTATCAAACACTCTCCATAACTGGAAAGACAAATGTTAGAGCAGTTGAGCCTGATTCCTTCAGTTTCTGCGGGCAGTTAAATGCATGATCTTCTGATCTCAGCTCTTCAATAAAAACGGTCACCAGACGACAGACCCACCCATCCTCCAGTCCATTCTTGAAGTTTCCCGTATACATCCGTCCATCTGGCCACTTCATGGTTCCCCTGGGGGAAAAGATTTCTATATATATTCTGGATATAAGACAAACAGCTCGAGAAACCAACACGTGCACTCTCCTACCTGCCGTGGATCCGTCCTGCCAGCCAGCTACCGGCGTAGTGAGCGTCTTTGTATCGCTCGTCTGCGGTGAACGTGTAGGGGGCCGTGCGGGACATTGCCGTCACCGCTGGAGATGACCCCTGACCTCCACCCCCCAGCACCTGGTCCACCGCCTGGTTGAGAGACCGTAGCCACTTGTTCTGCGGGGAGAAAGTTGGAGGCCGTAATGAAATGGAGGAAAAGAAAAGCAGCCACACAAACATGCTTTAAACCAAGCAACGGTAAAAGTGGATTTACGGTACAAGAAATTCACCTTTTCCTGTGGCGTTGAGGCCACCATGGTGAAAGTCTCCTCTGGACATGTTATTTTGATGGCATAGCTTTAAACATGTGACAAAAGGAAAGGCTGGACAGTTAGTCAACAATGCAATGCAGAAGATCCTTCTGTTCAAAGAAAAGCAAACATTTGGTACATTTAGCATCCTGGAAGAAAAACACATGTATAGCATGATTTAAAGATTGCTATGTTCAGTCTAGCTTTAGGATAAATGATAGCTGCATTTTTAGCTGCTTGATTGAGCAGCCTCTGTTACTTCTGAGCAAAAACTAAAGCTAATTTGGATAAACCCCATCACGGGTATAAAAAACCTTTTCATATTTGTGGCTAAGGTACGATTTCATAGGCAGAACATTTTCTAAAGATAGGTGCTGTGTCTGATGTTGTTTATTCATTAAGAACATTTTAATCAAATATTCTACTGTCACTTCCAGGGTGTCATATTTGAGTTTGGTGCTGTTAGTTTAGACAACTCACAGTCCACTGCCATCTTCGGTGAGCGGTGTCACCCACAGACAGCTCAGAGGATAGACGTGATGTGTGGAGAACTGCAGGGAAAAAAGACAAACAGAGCTTTTGTTACGGCATTAGGAAATATCTTTCACTCTGAAATGAGCAGCAGAGTGTACAAAAGTGGTTTTGTCAGCTGGTCTAATTTCACTTTTACTGTAAACTGCATGCATGTGAGTAGAAAGAGTTCTTCAAGATATGAGACGTCCCAGTTTCATTGTTTTTAGTCAGAACCAAGCTACACTTTTTCTCTCTGGGGCTTTTACACCTTGTCGGCCTGATTCACAAACTTTGGGAGCGTGTGAATTCAAATAATGCGAGAGAGCAAAATGCATACGAACCACACAATCACCATGTTAAAGAGACGGAACCAAAACCAACCAGAAAGAGTGAAACAGAAAGGTGAAGTGGCCCAACCATCTTCTCCCCGTGAACACAGCACACCGAACAGGAAGCAAGGCCGGCTAACTGGATGGTCAGGGTATCGATAGTGACCTGAACTACAACCAAAGCGCTGAGGTCGCGACACACAGGACTAAGCGACTGTGGCTACAGCCACTGGGGCCTCATGGGGGGGATTTCATCCTCTTATGTTCTACACACCCTCACACAGTCTCAAACATGAGCGACATGCAAACCAAATGTCAACACAGGATCTCTGCACCTTTGAATGCCCCAAAGTAGCAAAAAAACTAAAGGTTTCCCTTTATGGAAACCCTTTTATATCCGCCATGATTGGTGTGAGTAAAATGAAAGGTGAATGCTGATAAAATTGCAGTAAGGGCCAAATTCATTGTTAGCATATGATTGGTTGATATTGAGCACATGATGATGTATCATGTTCACCTAAAATGATGGTATTTTTTTCTTATCTGAACCTCATTTAAATTAATCTTTTTGAGAAAAAAAACACACACAACAACAAGTACTTGGATCATTGCATGAATGAGCTGTTATCGTTTGAATTAGGCGAATTTCGCTGTAAACTATTTGGAGATTAGAGGAGAACACCAGCCATGTGGATTTGGGGGGCAAAGATGCATCTAATCTATGAAATCCTGTGTTCACATCTTACCGTTTGCCCTCAGATCCCAGCAGAAGCAGTGAACCGCCTGCAGCTCAGGTTAAACTAGCCAGCTAGGAGGGAAATGAGGTAAAGTGATGCTGTATATACTTACAAAGCTTTGAGAGGGAATGGAACCCTAATCGAATGAGAGACACAATGAACACACGTCAACTTTAACTGAAGATAATCACTGCAACCTATTCTATTTATTATAGTGTACCGACCACCCGGTCCATACTCTGAATTCTTATCTGAATTTGCAGAGTTTTTGTCAACTTTAGTCCTTAAAACGGACAAAGTAATTATTGTAGGGGACTTTAATATCCATGTGGATGTTGAGAATGACAGCCTCAGTACTGCATTTATCTCTCTGTTAGATTCCATTGGTTTCTCTCAGAGTATTCATGAACCGACTCACTGTTTTAACCACACCCTTGATCTTGTTCTGGTGTATGGTATTGAAATTGAACATTTAATAGTGTTCCCACATAATCCGTCTTTATCTGACCACTGTTTGCTAACTTTTGAGCTTTTACTGCTGAATTACCCTCCACTGGGTAAAAATGTCTACTCAAGATGCCTGTCTGATAGTGCTATAGCTAAATTTAAGGATGTGATTCCATCAGCTCTACATCCATTATCAAGTCGTACAGAAACAGAGGACTCTTATGTTAATTTCAGTCCTTCCCAAGTTGATCATCTTGTTGATAGTGTTGAAGGCTCGCTGCGAACAGCTCTTAACGCTGTAGCCCCCCTAAAGAAGAAAATTCTTAAACAAAGACGGTTAGCTCCATGGTATACTAGTGAAACCCGCAAATTAAAGCAGATATCTCGGAAACTTGAGAAGAACTGGCGTTCAACCAAGCTGGAAAAGTCTCGTTTATCTTGGCAAGATAGTCTTAAAGCTTATAGGAAGGCCCTCCGTGATGCCAAAGCAGCATATTACTCGTCTTTAATTGAGGAAAATAGGAACAATCCCAGGTTTCTTTTCAGCACTGTTGCCAGGCTGACTGAGAGCCACAGCTCTATTGAATCAAGTATTCCAATAGCTCTCACTAGCCATGACTTCATGAGCTTCTTTAACGATAAAATTCTAGCTATCAGGAACAAAATCCACCAAGACTTGCCCTCAACTAGCATCGACTTATCTTTAAACTCAGTAACTGTAGGACCAGAACCAGTTATATGTTTTGACTGTTTTGCTTCCCTCAATCTTTGTCAACTAACTTCAATCATTTCTTCATCCAAACCTTCAACTTGCCTCTTGGATCCCATCCCGACTAGGTTGCTTAAAGAAGTCCTACCCTTAGTCGGTACTTCTCTGCTAGACGTGATCAATCTGTCCTTATTAACAGGCTATGTGCCACAGTACTTTAAAGTTGCTGTAATTAAGCCTCTTTTGAAAAAGCCTAACCTGGACCCAGATGTTTTAGCCAACTATAGACCTATATCCAACCTTCCATTCATCTCCAAGGTCCTGGAGAAAGCAGTAGCCAAACAGCTGTGTGACTATCTACATAGCAATAGCTTGTTTGAGGATTTTCAGTCAGGATTTAGAGCTCACCATAGCACAGAGACCGCACTGGTGAAAATTACTAATGACCTCCTAATGGCATCAGACAAAGGACTCGTCTCTGTCTTGGTTTTATTAGATCTTAGTGCTGCTTTTGACACCATTGACCATCAGATCCTACTACAGAGACTGGAACATTTCATCGGAATTAAAGGAGCCGTTCTAAGTTGGTTTAGGTCCTATTTATCAGATCGGTTTCAGTTTGTGCATGTTAACGATGAGTCCTCCATGCATGCCAGAGTTAGCCACGGAGTTCCGCAAGGATCCGTTCTCGGACCAATCCTCTTTACTTTATATATGCTTCCTTTAGGTAATATTATCAGGAAACACTCTATCAACTTTCATTGCTATGCAGATGATACTCAGTTATACCTATCGATCAAGCCAGATGAAACTCATCAGCTAGCTAAGCTTCAAATGTGCCTTCAGGATGTTAAAACCTGGATGACCTGCAATTTTCTAATGTTAAACTCAGCTAAAACTGAAGTTATTGTTCTAGGGCCTAAACACCTTCGTGACGCATTGTCTAGAGATATAGTTTCCCTGGATGGCATCGCCCTGGCCTCCAGCACCACTGTGAGAAATCTTGGAGTTATCTTCGATCAGGACATGTCGTTTAACTCTCACATTAAGCAAATTTCAAGAACCGCCTTCTTTCACCTTCGTAATATTGCAAAAATTAGGAGCATCCTGTGTAAAAATGATGCAGAAAAACTAGTCCATGCATTTGTTACTTCTAGGCTGGATTACTGCAATTCCTTGTTATCAGGGTCTTCAAAAAAGTCCATTAGGACTCTTCAGCTGATCCAGAATGCTGCAGCACGTGTTCTTACAGGAACCAGAAAAAGAGATCATATTTCTCCTGTCTTGGCTTCTTTGCACTGGCTTCCTGTTAAATCCAGAATAGAATTTAAAATCCTTCTCCTTACGTATAAAGCTCTTCATGGTCAGGCCCCATCTTATCTTAAAGAGCTTTTAGTACCTTACTGCCCTACCAGAGAACTGCGCTCCCAGAATGAAGGGTTACTGGCAGTTCCTAGAGTCTTGAAAACTAGAATGGGCGCTAGAGCGTTCGGCTATCAGAGTCCTCTTTTGTGGAACCAGGTTCCAGTTTGGGTCCGGGAAGCAGACACCGTCTCTATATTTAAGAGTAGGCTTAAGACTTTCCTTTATGATAGAGCTTATAGTTAGAGTAAGTCCACCCCTGGTTGTGCTGCTATAGGCCTAGACTGCCGGGGGATGCATCATGATGCACCGAGCTCCCCTTTCCTTTCTCTCTCTCCCTCCCGGTGCAACCTCATTCCATTGACAATGTTACTAACTGGACTCTCTCCCTTCCCCGTAGTCGTGTGCTTTCTCGTCCCCCTTCTCTCTTCTCTCTCTTCCTAACACTTTCTGCAGATATTCCTGGCTCTGGAGCTGTGGGGTCTGGATCTGTGGTTGGGAGTCTCCTCCTATCACTTCCTGCAGGTGTTCCTAGAGCTGTGGAGTCTGGATCTGTGGTTGGGAGTTTCCTGCTGCCCCCATGTTCCTGCTCATCATTAGCATTAATATCATTGCCATTTTTAATCTATTCTATGTGTTGCTGTGTTGGCTGCCCCTCTCTGCTCCTTCTGTCCTTCTCTCGCCCTCTCTCTCTCTCTTGCTCTCTCTTTCCCCTCACCCCCAACCGGCCGAGGCAGATGGCCGCCCACCCTGAGCCATGGTTCTGCTCAAGGTTTCTGCCTGTTAAAAGGAAGTTTTTCCTTGCCTGTGTCGCCTAGTGCTTGCTCATGGTGGGAATTGTTGGGTTTCTGTAGTTAACTTCAGAGTAGGGTCTGACCTGCTCTGTTTGGAAAGCGCTGTGAGACAACTGTTGTTGTGATGTGGCGCTATATAAATAAAATTGAATTGAATTGAATTGAATAACAAAAAAGATGTCCGGAAATGTCAGAAAGTCAGTGTAGCAGAAAAATCCGGCCAAGTGTTTGCCTGATCTGCCCCAAACTAACAAACATCCTGTGTGACTTATTTTCCTTTTAATCATGTCTTGAACATCGTGGGGTTTTTTTTTTCAATATGAGCAGATGTAGAGATTTAAAAAAAAAACGTATTTGAAAAGGATCCACCAGGTTCTGCTGCTGCCTGCGCCAGACAATGGTGTCATACAGGATCTGCTGATTCGTTTACCAGTGACACACAACCCGGTTCAGTTTGGTTTAGTTTGGAGGGAGTTTCTGTGAATACCTGCATGTGCACCAGAACGTCGCTGAACAGAATGAACCAGTGGTTGGAGAACCGGCCGGCGTTCTGCAGAGTCACAGATCTGTTGCTGCTCTCACACACCACGCGCCGTCGCGGGAGACGCAGAATCTCCTAAAAAAAAACAAATAAAAATAGGCGGCTTGTTCACTTAAAACCTTTTCAGACTCACTGAAATGGAAAACCTGGGAGTCAGCATACTCCCACTCTTCGGGGTTCTGTCGTTGATCGATGGCATTTGGCTCACAAAAGCCTTGGAATTGCAAAACAAATGGTCTGTTATGGTTCACGCCTCATATCCACTGTATTCGACAATCAACACGAAAACTTTTCCAAACGGTCCTTTTTACTGCTGTATGCAGCAGAGTTTCTCATCTCAGAAGGCTTGGAGCTCCTACTTTCATGTCTGGGCTGGATTACCGTGACGGTGTTTACATGCATGCTTCCCCACAATGTTTACATGCCTTTGATGCCGTCTACAGCCGAGCTCTGAGGCTCAGAACTCCTCCTGAATCTCTGTCTTAATGCTGCTTGTTGTGTACCCGTGCTGGTTGTTTCAATGTAGACTCAGTCAGTGTAACAGGCTATTTTTGGTCCGTGTCCTCGTTCGCATCAGACCTACTTTTTTTTTAACGAAAAAGCTTGGGAAATTGTGGTCTTTATTTCAGGATTTATTCCTGGAGTCTTTTCCCAGAACCTGTTATCAACTGAGAAAACAGGACTTAAGAATGACGTTTCCCTTTGAATGAAATCAACTCAAACATTGTTTAAGTTGCAGAGGTTTGATCCGTTTTTTTGATGTGTGATATGTATCTGTTTCTTCTCAGCACCTCTGAGAGCTGTGACTGTTAATTCGCAGGAACCCTGCAGAATTCTGAAACGGTGGTCTGCAGCTGCTCTGCGCTCTGGCAAAAGATGTTTGATCTCGAGGCGATTTATTTCCCGGTGAGGTAAAGGTCAAAATAAACACCAACAAAGAAAAATGCGCAAAGCGGTATGTAGAAAAAAAAAAATCCAATAAACTCCTGCGACAATCCGATGATCAAAAGCATTTCCGTGCGCTTATCACTGCTGTCAGCACTCTGGCCTCACACCTGGAGGAGCCCTAAGGGGATCAGTGGTTTCATTCTTAGCCCTGCCACATAGCCGACTCGGCCTCTGCTTTGTGTAACCCACAAGTCTGACCTCCAGCGATATCCCTCACCCCCATCTGTGCTATAAAGGAGGAATTAACGTCTAAAGTTTGTTAACGGTGGAAATACATGACAGGTACTGTCCATTTTTAAGCACATGTTGAGCCATGCCAAAAATGCTTTTTGCACTGAGATGTGAAATAAAGAAGCAGAGCTGGTGTTAGGGTCAAAACTCCAAAGAACATCCTGTATAATGCATGTCAACATCTGCTCAGGTTATATCCCAAAACATTTTTTCAAGAAGGGCGATAATAGGTCAGTGTGCGAATGTCACTCACAGTAGTTTTACCAGAATGGGCTTTCCAGAAAAGGAGGGTGGTTTCCGCTTCCTTCTTCTTTCTCAGCAGAGACAGAGACAGAGTTTCATAATGACCACATCCCTGATGGAGGGACTGATACTCAAAGGTCAGCTGGACAGAGATGGGGAACAAGAAATATAGTTTGTCAATCTATCCAAATATCAGTGTCTTCACTATTTGATTCGATATAAAGGCGAAAAACATCTAAAGTTACAAAATGAGAAGACATACAGAGACTTGTTTTTTTTTTTAAAGACTTAAAAAGACAGGGGGCAGAAACCAGATTAAAGGAGTACTAATGTAAACGGGCACAAAACAGAGATGAGGCATGAGGAGGGAGTTTTGTCTGTACCACATCAAAGCAGACCGCCATTTTGAGCAGAACTCGGTGGTATTGGTGGAGCTGCTGCAGGGGCCGGTACAGGACTGAAGTTAAATCAGCATCACCGCTGACCGCCGGGTCGGAAGCGCAGAGCTGAGAGAGCACAGTCTGCTGCCCGCCCAAACACTGCCTGGAGACAAACACGGAGAACGCACCCTTATCTGACGCACCATCGCAATGAGCGTCAGCATGCATTTGTGCATGTGGAAAATGGTAAACAAAAACAGTTGATCTTTTTTTTTTCTCTGGAAGAAGGCCAAATGAGTTGAACAGTTCGCACGTAAAATGAAAGCACTTACTGTGAGAGTTTATGAAGTGACTGAAATCCCCCCATTACTTTGAAGTCATCGACAGCAGAGCAGTACCTAAAGAGACACACACACGTACACACACACACACACACAGAGACACAGATGCTGTATCAAAAAGCAGCCATAAGACGTGACAGACGTTTGGGAGCAAAAACAAGATGTCTGCCTTTTGCTTTGATGCCACGAATAGCTTACTTTTTATAAGTGTCCAGGAAATGTTCTGAGTGTGTCAGCAGGGGGAGGGAGGTGAGGTCCCGGCTGGGCCCGTCATGCAGGAAGTAGCTGAGGGCAGCTGCGTGACGACCGGCCAGGTCGCTCAGGTGAACAAAGCTCTCACAAAGCGAGAAGAAGAGATGCGTGCAGGGCTCACCTAACTGTGGGCAGGCGGCCTCTGTTAAAGATGGGGGACACACAATTTCACATCAGGCTTGTGCTCATCAGCGGAAGACTTGTAAAGGATCTCAGCAGCGGGGGGACCCTCACACCTCTGTTGCGCAGCGGCGTGAGCAGGACCCTCCTGACGTTGTTCAACCAGCAGTAAAACCGCCTCTCCGTGGAGGCCAGCTCGTGGATGGCAGAGATCAAACCCATCACGTTGTGGTCTGCCAGCGCGGCGCACATCTGGCCGCCGCTGCACACACTGCTGATGTACCCCATCTGCACGGAGACAGGCCAAACACAAAGCTCACACCGAGGACGTGCTCCACCCTCTCGACTCCGATGGGCCGTATTTGTGTCGCCGTCCCGCAAACCTGGATGCAGAAGGGCAGCAGAGCGGGCCTGAGGGTGTAGCTCTCCGCCCTGTGGGGCGACCTCTGGCCAGAGTTCTGACCGCGCTGCGCCGGCAGCGACTCCTGCTGCTGGCCGCAGTACAGCAGCACTGGCTGGACGCAGTCGCCGTCGGCCAGGAGGAGGGAGTGGCTCTGACCAGCCGACACGTCCCAAACACGGAGGCCATCAGACAGCTGCCGAAGGACAACACACTAGATGTGGACATTTCTCGTGTTTGCGTGCGTGTTATTCCTACCATTACTAATCCGAAGAGTCAGAATGCTATTTCTAATAAAAGACTGGTTGACTGTCAGATCCCGATACCTTTGCCTGTTGTGGCACAGTGACGGGACTGTTGATGTGGCCGAGCTGTCCACACATGTTGCTTCCCCATGAGTAGACCTGCATCACAGGACAGACGCAGTTAACGCAGCTCGCCTCTCCTAGTTATGCGTCGCCGCTTGCTTTTATTCAAGTTGAATTTGCGTGAAAGGACACTTCAGATGCAGCTGTGAGTACTGGAACTGTGCATGTGCTGTGGGTTTGCAACCTGACACTGAGCGGTGAGAGCCAGCGAATGGTGCGACCCCGCGGCAACTTTGATCACTTCCAGTCCCGTCAGAGACTTGATGCACAGAGGCTGAAGCCTGGACACACAAAGGCACATTTTGCCCAGGTGTGTGAGTATAACTGCTTACTTATAGACATATTACACATCACTTTTTAAAGCAATTTTCTGTGGCTTTTACATGTAAATTTGTCCATGCTGTACATAAAATAATCAATTCCATATAGAAGCAGTTTTCATTGGTCATATTCATGAGAGTGTACTAGTTTCAGCTTAGGATATATTGTAAATCCGCATAAATGTGGGTGCTCTAACCTTGCGAGCTGATCTCCATGACCAAGTTGCCCCTCCGACCCGCGGCCCCAGCTCCACACCTCCGTTTCCAGGGTGGGCAGTCCGTCTCCTGCCTCCTCTGCCCCTGCGGCCTGAGCGGGGAGCGGCCCGCAGGCACAGTGGCGCCGCCTGCGAGGAGACCCTGTAAGAAAAACAAATCGTACACATCTGAAAAGCCTCACATGATGCTCACACTCGAGCAGGTTGTAAATGGGCTTCATTCATCACAAGTGACAACAACCACGTGTAACATGAACCTGCCGAGTGCTGGGCGAAATGCACCTCCTTTGGCTCCATGCTTTTCACACCTGCTTACAGTAATTACAGTACAAGGGAAAACCTAAATAAACCGCACCCAACGGGCTCGGTAGGAACATGCCCCAGTGACTCAGACAACTCCACTGGAAAGAAACGTATCCAGCAACGAGCTGAAGGAAGCCGAAATGACGCAAGTTTGACAAAAAACAACCCAGAAATTTAAACCATCACCATGGCTAAAGTAAAAACACTGTTATTGCATATGTAATAAGACATGAACAAGGCCTAGATTTGGTGAATGGTAAGAGACACCCCCCCACAGTCCAGCTGAACCAGAATATGTGAAGCTGGCCTTCTGTTTCTATCTTTTCTATGCTTGTAACTATGCTTTGTGCAAATTTAATCAGCTTTTTGTGGCATCACTTTATGCTTAATAAGTGTTAACTGTAGATCTATTCAATATGTTTTTCCTTTTTCTAATAAGATATTCATGACCCCTTTGCCACTTGTCAAGTGAGCAATGTGATTATGTCATGATGGGAAAAGGAATTCTGAGTTTAGAGAGTATTCCAAGTCTAGAAAATAAGGGCTGTGTACACTGCTTGTTCATTTGTTATACAAACGTAGCTTTACGAAGACACAAAAGCTGTTGCTTGAACTGAAACTAATAGTCTCCTGGCACCAAAATTTGTTTCTCAGACTATCAATCTTCTCATCTAACTCTTGGATATAAAGAAAATAAGCTAAGCTGCTCACACCCTTCCATTCCTACCATGGGTGGGGGTTCCAGGAAGTGAGTGCCTCCTGCTCGCCGCAGTTTTCCCTTTCTGGTGTATATTTGTCAGACTGGAGCTCTTCTGCCCCTGCAGTGCTTGCCTCTCTTTCTCCAGACAAAGACGAACTTCTTCTAAACACACCGGGGAAGAGGAGTACGGCCCAGATGGCCCGCTGCCGCAGCTGGACAGAGGTGAAGGGAATCATCTCAGGAAACTGGAGTTAGTTTTCAGAGTCTTTAAAGACAAGCGTTATTCTATATTCCTTAAGCTTAAGAGTAACTTAAGATTCATTCAACACACAACAGAAACTACAACATTAAAACCAAAGTTCAGGTCCCCACTGTGCCATTAAACTGCCTCTAGCTTGTTTCCTGGAATCTTTTATGTTACAGCTGAGAAAAAGTCAAGCCAAATAACTTGAATTTAACAGGGTCAATATCCATGAAAGTGGTTATTCTGTGTTGGTGAAGTAATGATTTCTACGCTCTAAACTGTAAAGATGAGCCCGTCTTACCTGTTTGTTTCTCTTTTTAAAGTTGAGTTGTCTTTGCTACTGTAAGTCCACGGATCACTGGAGGGAGTTGAAGAAACAAAACTGTCCTCTAACCAAAACAAAAGAGGGAGACGAGAATATCAATGCACAGATTAGATAGAAATACATTTCGAAAACTGCCAAAACAAACTTTTTTTCTTTACAATTCTTTAAACGGGTTTAAAAAACAGGTCCAACAAGCTGATTAAAACTTTCAACAGAAGGGTGATTCTGATGAAAAATACTCTGCTTTTGCTCGAGAGCCAGATGATAAAAGTGTTGTTTCAATTGGTGAAAAGGGTTTAAGAGACTAAACAAACACTAAATACAGACAGAGAAAAATCAACCCAGCAGGAGGGAACAGATACCGTAACTGGAGGTGTGGCTGCTCAGCGAGTCGGTGTCCCCCGTCCCCACGCTGGGCTGCGACTCCAAAGAATGAGCAGACAGCTTTCCGAAGAGGCTTCGTAGTTCCAGCGCGTCAGGAAAGTCTGAGTTCTTGTTGCTTGTCCAGTGTGCCACTGGACAGGCTCTGGGGCTGCTTTCAGTCTGGGGTACAGAGTCACTGTGCACCTCAGGCTCATGCTTGCTGTAACTAAATATCAGCAACAGAGAAAAAGTACAGAAACAGATGACTGAGGTTTTTTATTTTAAAGGTTTTGGGTTTTTTTAAAAGGAAAGGAAGTATAAAAAGTCATCCCGTAGTTTACAAGATACTGAACTGTTTGGCGTTAGATTTTCTATCTTCAGAAAAGGAGCAGCTGGATCCAGAGCCAGGGCTGCTGCCAGACAAAGTTTCTCCTGGATGGAGTCTCTGCCTGGGGGCTAGTCTTCTGGGAGACGTCTGTAATGTAAAACAGAGAAGAACATAATAAGTGGTGAAGAAATTTAGCATAAGAATAAATTACTGTCTTACAAATTATGTGAATGTTCTGAACAAAGTAAGAACAGTTTTTAATATCGTTAACATTCTCCACTTGCATCAGGAGATATTTTACCTCTCCTCTCATGACTTCAGTCAGTTCCACCCCAAGCGGACAATAATGAGAATCCTCAGCCGTAAACAGATCCTCCCTCTCTGTCAATGGGTGGTGAGGCGATCGGCCCTGCTCCCTTTCCTTCGGGGGTCTCTGAGTGTTATGGTCCTGAGGAGGTAAACTGCGTACGAGGGCCAGGCTGTGGTAGGCGCCACAGGCAACCTGTTGAAAATAACAACCATCACACACTGCTTCTGCTGATTAAATATGACAGTGGCCTTCTCTGAGAGGCTACCTGAATCACGTGTCTTCCTGCCAAGTGTTCAACCTGTAAAACAATTTTTTTTAAAACTCATTCACAGATTCACAGATAGTTACACCACAGACATGGGCTTAAATTCAGAGGCTTTTGAATCATCACCTTCTGTGGCTTCCACACAGGGAAGGAGTTTGTGACCAGGCCGAGCTGACAGCCACTGCCCCAGGCCCACAGCTCATTCTGGGCTGACAGAGCCAGGCTGTGCTCCCGTCCGCAGGCCAGATCCACGATCCGCACCACCACTGGAGGAACGGCCTCACTGTCCACCACGTTGATGGGGGTGGGCTCTGAGACTGCGAAGACAAATATGTGCTTCATACTTATCAGCATTAATCAGCTGCAAAATTAAGGAAGTCAACTTCACTTCTGACATGCTGGCACAGCTTAAAAAAGGACATGCTCAGGACTGAAGTCGGAAGAAGGGAAACGATTAGCAGATTTAAGCACAAAGCCCAGTTAAAACTAAAAAAACGGCCAAAACAAGAAGATTCAAGAATCAAACCTGTGATATTTGTGAGGGTCCCACGCTCGCTCACTCCACACTGCCCGGCTGTATTCTCCCCCCACATGTAGACGCTGCCCTGCTCACTTAGTGCCCCACAGTGGAAGCCTCCAGCAGCCACTCGGACCATCATCTTCCCCACTAGAGAGACCTCCAACACCGGAGCAGACAGCGGGATGCTCATGTCCCTCCATAAAAGCTCTCCAAATGAAAACACCTGACCACCTAGAAGACAAAAACAGCTGCATTGTTTCAGACACAGTGCACGTCCCCTGCAAACAGGCACCACTGAGGACAGAGGAGAAAATGAAATATTCAGGGTCCATAGTCCCGCTTCCCACACACCCTGTGCCAACAGGAGGCCGTGGTGCTCTCCCAGAGAAACCTGCACAACAGGCCTGGACATCAGCACTCGCTCTGGGCAGAGCTGCTTGCTGCATCCCGCTGAACTCCACACGTGGAGAAGTCCCCGTTCTAGATCTGCGGGGGCCTGCTCAGCTGCAGGGCTGCACACAAAACAACACTTCCATATTATACCCCGAATTAAACTTGCAAGAAGGTCTAGCAAAGCAAATCTTTACATAGTGACTAGATGTATTAAGTTGGATAATAGTCGTTCCCAATTACCTGCCAACCAATAATACTTTTTAATACTTTAAATGGAGTACACGCAACACACAAAGTCTAAAGAATACAAATAGAGCTGTGATAATGGTGTTTTAACTTAATCTAATAGATAAATAAAACAAATGTGTTACATTTTGTTAGGATTTTGTATATCAAATACATAGTGAATGTTATTCACATGAAAACTAGTCAATTGGATCTCAAATGTCATCTTGATAATATCAAGAGGAAACCAAATGTCAGTGGTAACTTGTTTTGATATTCAACGCGTTTCATGTGAAAATATGTGCCCGGGGAGATTATCTGGCTAGAGATGGCTCCAAAGCGCATCAGTGTGTTTGCTTAAGCTCACCCTTTATCTTGGTTCTCCATCACTTCATGACACCTTTGTGAAACTGTTTTTCCAAAGCTCAGGCAGAAGCTGGTGAATTTCCTTTCCTGTTTTGAAGCTTCTTTGGATATCCTGGCTCAAGATGCTTCGTTTGTTGGAACACCTGTTTGTTAAATCAACATAAATACAGAATATATGGTTTTAACTCTGTTGTGCTGGCAAAGGATTGATTGTATGGATTTTCAACAGTATCCTAACTCCTGAAGCTAATGAACTTGGCTAGCTCTGGGACACACTGGGAGGGGGGTATTTAGCACTGCTGATACGTCATAACAACTATATAACATGGTTTGTACGTCTTATAAATCATATCAAAGACTTGATCAAACCTTTTTATCTCTTTTGCAACAAACGGCACACAAGCACCAATCTATATTTACATCTCTGTGCTATTTAGGTTCACTCTCACTGAGCCTCTTATCGACATGCCTGTATGTGAACGAGTGGAGACATAAACAAATGAGCAGTCCTTGCTTTGCATTTCATCGTCAGTTTGTTCACCGATTTCTCCTCCCTGGGTATTTTTGCCAGTCCATTTGAACCAAAACTGAGGGGCAAATCTCCTAAAGAGAAGTTGGCTAGCTTAGTGCAACCGCAGCTAAAGAGGCTAATTAAACTTACCGACTGCGACATCCAAGTCGGCAGAAAGTCGCGGAAATGTTTGGAAAAGCGCCTCTAAATAAGCCTAGGAGACTGCACGAGTGAGTGTCACGGCTGAAATAGTGAGCTACTGAATTCTTAGATGTTCAAATCAGTGTCCTGCTCTGGAAGCAGAAGTAATCTTTCAGTTGCTGCAGGGAAGAAAGTCTGCGATGGCATCCGAGCAGGGACAAACATTCCGGAGAGCCCCACCTGTTGATGCTGGAGATTATTCATAAAAGAGGTCCCACTCTCGCGCTATTTCTAGAGCTATTTTTCTTTAAAATGTTCTTAAAACTTGTTATGACACAGTAATAATGAGATCATGAAAATAACCTTTTATTCAACATTATACAAAATCATTCAAATGATCGTGTCAGAACATTTATTTTCTAATCTATGATCGCCGTATTGCCCGATTAGTGTTTAATGAATAATAAAGTCGATCTTAAATTTCTTAAGTTTTCAGTCTCAAAGGAGGTTGAGCCACTGGATTTTTGTAACCCATAAATATGTGCTGTTAGACAGATTGTTTTAGCATAATTTGCACAAAAATCCAAATAAAATCTTAGAAACTTGTAATAAAAGGGTAGTATTATAATGTTAGTTAACAATTCCACTCTTTTTCTCTTTAAGTACGCCAAGGAAGGTTTAGGAACTAATTTGCTTAATGATGGCTTTTGTTTGAACATATACATGTTTCGTGGGATTCTTCATGAGTGCATCTGAACAGCAGAGGTCTCACTCATTTAGACTGCCAAGTAGCAACAACACTGTTCTAACATAATCTTTTCACATAGAAAGAACCAGGAAATATATGTATAACCATGTCCTTGGATTGATGCTGCATAATACAAGTTATGTTTCTTCTAATATTACACTTTTGATACACATTCTTGCAAAGATATTAACAGAAGCTTGCACAAAACCTCTAATAGTTAAGCAAGCACATACATAAGATTGTGATCCTCTGATTTCATTCTTCAGCAAACAAACTGTTCAGCTAGTGAGTGCACTGGGCAAAGAAGGACTTAGTTATTTCACCATCTACGAAGGCGCACTATGTAGTAAAAATATACAGCTGGGGAAGTCTGCAGCTGGGCTTTTTTTTTACTCTACCAGGGTGAGTCACTGGCAGCAGGATGATTACAAATGGTCAAATGTGTTGCAGTAGGGCTCAATTATGGTTGGGTTTTCGCAGAATAAATTTCAATATCCTATTCGGCCATTTTCTCCCATTCACTATCTATATAAGATCTTGTTAGTTTTCCCTTTAATTTTTTTCTGCCTGCCTTTTCCTTTCCCTTCCACTCACCCATGTTCGTGACCTGCTCTTGTTTGCCATTTTAGTGTTTTCTATATAAAAGCGTCCAGCAGGTTTTGGCACTGACTTTTACAACCAGTCATAAAACAGGGGAGGAAAAAGGGAAAGAACTAGGGCAGGCAAGTCAGAGGAAGAAAATCTAATATTTTGCCTTCTTGGAGCTGAATATAAAGACATTAGAGCAGCACAGCTGCTGGCAGTAGCTTCTGGCTCCTTTTCTAAAATCTAATATTGAGTTTATATCACAAAGAAGTTTCACTGTTGTCAAGTACAGCTTGTATTCTCTCTGTCACATCAGTGACATCAGAACTAAATTGAATTGTCCCAAGTTAGTTTGTATTTGTGTAGCCAGAGCAACATCTTTCAGTTAGAAAGCAAACAACAAGTTATGTGTGTGCACTTATTTTGGATGTTTAACTTTCAATGTGAGCAGAGAATATTAAACTAAAATAGGCTACTGTTTATAGAAATAGTTATCCCCCATGTAAGAACACTACTAGAGTCACCAGAATTTCAACCCATTACATCAGCATGCTTTCAAAACCAAAATGTGTCTCGAACTGTGTAACTGTGCCTCTGTAATGTTCAAACAAGTTGAAATCACTTTAATGCTCAAACTGTGTAGCAAAGAGAGGAATCTCCCGCTGACATGAGGACACGTGGCAGGTCTTCATTGCCATGTGGAAAAACTGATGTCTTTTTTTCCTTTACAAAGATAAAGGCAGATAGATAAAGAAGCAAACTGAGTTCTTGAATGACGCACTTACAAATACCACGTTGGCTCTCTTGCCATTTCTAATCAATAGCCTAATCTAGACATCATTCATACACAGACACACTTGGTAACCCCATGTCGTGACCTGAGCAGCCAGTATTCCTCCTCCAAACCCTCATAAAATATTATTGCTGCTGGAAACAACAAAACCTGGGTTTACAAGACTGCAGAGGCTGTATGTGTGAGTGTGTTTGTGTGTGGAAGCGTGGATTTGTGTGCATGTGTGGCGGGTAAAACCATACAGGGTTGCAGCCAGGCCACAGAGACGGAGCAAGAGAGAGTGGTTCCACTGCCCACAATATCGTGAGTCTACCAAGCACTCCGGGAGCATGTGTCGCTTTGGGAAAATTCAAATAAGGTCATTCACATTTCAGGGGTGTACATTGTTATTATACTTTTTCATTTTAATAAACTGATTCTAATATTTAATTGGATACACATAATATTTATAAGAATCTGCATTTTTTTTGGTTCTCTTTTAGAGGCAGCTTGCATTTGACTGCTGTGGCAACAATCAAGATTTCAAGCTTCTACAATACCAGAGAAAAACTGTCTTAATAAAAGAGCTAAAAAGTTGCCAATAGCCTATTGCTGACATTGCATCACTTCATGTTACCCTGCTGGGCTGATGCGCTCCCATCCTAGATGAACCTGGTTAGCTCCTGCAGGCTTGCTTTGCAGTACTGCTTTTTTTATCATCTTTTTTTTTTCAAGGGGAGTCAAATGCGAAAGAAAAAAATGAGCGGATAGATTGAACTCTGTCTCAGAGACAACAAGGGAGGGGTTTTCTTATAACTATCTGGCAATGGAAGCACTGAGCTTGTGTATGTGTGCATCTCTTGGTGTATGTGTCTGTGTAGGCTGTATATTTAAAGAACATTGAAAACACATGTCTGGAGCTTGATAAAGAATATTTTAGGCACTGGGTAATTTGGCATGATCTGAACACACACACACACACAAGCGCACCAAAAGGCTGCCTTTGATGGAGGAGGTTTGACTATGAGGAACAACTTATGCATGCACCGAATACCTCCATCAAAGACACAAAAGGAACCAGATTTAGAATAAGTTAAGGGGAAATTTTGTTTTCAATAAGCACTTTAAACTGAAATGCCATTTGTTGGCACGGATAGTGCTTAACTCTGACTGTACCTTTTTAGACAAACCCTAAATCAAGATTATTTCGCAACACTTTTGAAATGTAGTCAAATTTTGCATCTGTCATACAGGTTATTTACTACAGAGCAAACCCCAACCCTTTTGAATAAATGGGATGAAGGTTTGGAAATGTTTTGTGGTTGGGTTGTGTTTTTAAGTGATTGTTAAGGAGCATATTTAATTTCAGGGAATTTCCACAACTCTGACATAAGACAAAATAACGAGACCAAGCCTTATTATGTTTCTTATCTCTTCATATTACAGCCTCTCTTTGTGCCATCGGTTGACACTCAAACTGCTTTGAGCCATCTCAACCTCTTGTGAAAACCTATTTCTTTCAATCACGGGATCGATTAAATTAATTGTGAACTAAAATGGGTTTTGTGTTCTTTTAGACGCACCACATCTTAAAGACGTGACCTGTGCAACTATTACACACCAACCATCTGGCTTTCATTTGAAGTGCTCATCCATACATGGCTTAGGCCAAAGTGGCGAAACATTCATGTCCATTCAAATCCTTTAACGCATCAAGTGAGGCACAGACTCTCTGTCTCTCTGATTACACCAACCATTTAACATTCCCGGGGCATCCTTCTACAACCACTTCAGAACATTCCATCTAATTCCTTTCCTTCCATAGCTTGTGCCTTTCAAGCTTTTTCTCCAGAACCTCCAACCTTAATTTAGTTATTATGGGATTCCTTTGACACATGCAAAATTTCACTGTTTGTACAATATAATAATAATATTAGAAAGTAATCTGCTATGTGGTGTCTCCGTAATGGTATTCAGCAGTCATTTCCACATGAAACAGAACCCATAGACAAATACCAGGACCAATGGAAGATCTTTCGCCAGAGAGGCCATGAAATAATTTATACATTTGTATACACTTGTAAAAAAGACATCAATCTTATTCATAAGGGTGTTCATTGTGAATCTGTTAACAGAAACACACAAGAGTCTCTTTGTTCCTTTGCCAGTTTAATACCTGCACTCATAGAAGGACATATCTATCTACAGAAGCATTCATAACATACAATTCTAGTATAATCTTTTTCGCTTCTGAGTTCAACAATGGTCCGTATGAACAGCTTTTGCAGGAGTGTTTAATGTATCAGAAGAGACAGAGCCCCAGGAGGATTGAGGGGAGGAGCACAGGGAAGACTGATAGAGACATGCAACTCTTTATTGCCCTATAATGGAGGAAACGCATCATAAAGACGATCCTGATAAGATGGGAATAATCTTTACATCAAAACTTCCCTTTGGACACCATTAATCAAGGGCGTTTGTAAAAAAGTTGAACTCCTGCTTTCACAGACATGTTTGCATCAATAAATCAAAAGGAAACTGCCAGAGGTTAAACTCTTACGGATGTTATCAGTGGTATCATACCATTAATTCTTGTCTTAGATCCATGACACCTTTGGTAACTATATATAAATATATAAAAAATGTATACTAATGTTCATGCATTTAGCCAATGCATTTATTCAAAGCGACTTACAATTCAGATGCATATTGCCTTCTAACACAGATCAAGACTCCCAGAATGAGACAATGTCTCATCAAACTGCCCTTAAGCTCCCCAGTGCATACACAGGGCTTCAATAAAGCCATCAAGTTTGAAAACCGTGGTACAATTGAATGAGCACTAAGGCCAATCACTCCATTATTGCAAGTTAAACTTAACATGGATTCCCCTTTAGGTAATTCTGGCTTTGCCACAATATTTTTTTTCAAAAGCTCATTTTAAGGTTTTTCAAATTTTCAGCAGTGATTTTCATTTTGAATCAAGCGGAACTGTGATGTAGTCAGAGATGACCCGATACTCATTTTCTCAGTTTTTGTTTTAAAAGAGGCATCAGCAAATGCATTTCAATAATCTGTTCCACTACGCTATATT